TGCTGGGGAGATAAGTTTGGCATTTGGTCACGCAATGGAAGTTTGTCTGTCACGCCGATTGCAGAGCGGTTTTCCCCCCTTTACGCCATAGAACGCGTGTTTACTGCTTGTGTTTGTTGGGATAATTAAAGCATTACTCCCTAGGAACTGCAACATTAACCCGGATGTAATGTATTTTAAACCCTCGAGATAGTGTTTCATTGGGATATCCAAACACTGAGAAGAGAGTTGAAAATATGATTTGCAGCGGAGTATTTTTGTCAAAATTCAAGGTGTTTGGATAGCCAATGAAACACTGTCTTGAGTGTTTGATATATCTTCTCAATCAAAACAAAAAGTAAGGAGTAAACTGAGAACTAAAATCATCAAAATCTATGCTAAGTAAGACCGTGTATCCAAACTTCCTAGCTTCACGGTTGTGATTTTCTTTGTTTTAACTTGATGAATTATTAATGGTCTGAGAAGATACTTTCTCAAACTCATTAATAATTCATCAAGTTAAATTAAAGACAATCAACCGTGAAGGAGGTTTGGGTATCTGATCTTAATTAGCATGGATTTTAACGGAACAGCAGAATGACAGCTCCCCTGTTCTGCCAATCCACCATTTTGGCTTTTAGGGTCACTCCTTAAAACGTCTTTGCTGATCCAATTGTCAAATGTTCTGAGTATCTAAAATTTACCCAAAATCCACTAGCTAAATAGGTATGAAAGTAATAAACAGTTTCTTTTGTATCTGTAAGATTGCAAGGGTCCACAAAATTTTATTTGANGAGGGGAAACATTTTGAAAAATGCTGGTTCAATTGTGAAGGTGTTTTGTTTGGTGAAACAAAACTGCAACTGACACCAGGAAATATCTTCCAAAATATGGCCAGTTTTATAAACCCAGATGTAATATATTTTAAACCCTCGAGACAGTGTTTCATCGGGATATCAAAACACTGAGAAGAGAGTTGACGTGCAGCGGAGTATTTTTGTCGAAATTCAAGGTGTTTGGATAGCCGATGAAACACTGTCTCGAGTGTTTGATATATCTTCTCAATAAAAACAAAAAGTAAGGAGTAAACTGAGAACTAAAATCATCAAAATCTATGCTAAGTAAGACTGGATATCAAAACTTCCTTCATGGTTGTGATTTTCTTTGTTTTAACTTGATGAATTATTAATGAGTCTGAGAAGATACTTTCTTGTACTCATTAATAGTTCATCAAGTTAAATTAAAGACAATCAACCATGAAGGAGGTTTGGATATCTGATCTTAATTAGCATGGATTTTAACGGAACAGCGGAATGACAGCTCCCCTGTTCTGTCAATCCACCATTTTGGCTTTTAGGGTCACTCCCTAAAACGTCTTTGCTGATCCAATTGTCAAATACTCTAAGTATCTAAAATTTACCCAAAATCCGCTAGCTAAATAGGTATGAAAGTAATAAACAGTTTCTTTTGTATCTGTAAGATTGCAAGGGTCCACAAAATTTTATTTGAGCCATTCCTATACAAAACAGAATTATAGTAACTTTCTGGAGTTCCTTTCAAAATTTTAAATGATCACCTGTAGCCTGTAACTTTTGTATGTGATTTCTTCCCCCCAAGGTTTTTGCCTTACATTAAGAGCAGAGCACCTACAGTCTATATAGCAGACCTTCGTCAGCATGGCAAAGCTAAAAGGTTTTCGACCTAACAAATTTAGTGACCAACATACTGTTCAAAAGAATTGCTGACATAGACCCATTTTGTTTTGAACTTGAGACTACGCAGTGTTGAATAACTGGTCTTCAGTTGCTGCAAATTTCTTAAATCCGCAGGCTGTGCAGAAAAACTGATGGAGAGGGTTATACGTAATAGCTGTGATCCAATTGTACTGACTTCCAGACACCCAAGATCATCCCTGACTGTTGTCATACAGCTTGTTCAGGACTGTGGATCAGTATCCTAAATGTTATTGTCACTTATAGTCAGGTTGCCAAGTTTGTAAGGGATGTTAGGTCATTACAAGTTAACCACCAACATGTGTAAGTGTTAGAATGTACCATCCTGCTACTTCCAACATTGATACTATTCAACTCAGTTTGCCTGTGTCAGATTTTGGATATTCTCATTTTTCATTAAGTTTTATTTGTCAATTTCTTTCATTGCTATGTGGCTGGGTTTTTTAAAATGTGATTTTTGTTGATTGATAAAATTTGATCAAGTTTTTGCCAGACATTTTAAGACTTCTCATGGTCTAGAGTTTATTGTTTCTTCGTTCATCATCAACAAAATATGTTTTGTCTTGGTTAATTCACTGTACATCAGATCATGCAGATGTAAGGCTGTGAATGTATTCTTTTACATTTTTTTCAGGGAACAGTTTCCTACATCATTATTTTATGGCTACAGGTACATTGCACAATTTTAATAGTTATCAACAAAAAAATTCTGATCTTGTCAAACAATTCCTCACAAGGGCAAGGACTCAACCTTCTGATCTTAATAAAGACAGTGCTAACCAACAGACCAACATACCAAATGTATCAGGACTGGTTTACATTTCTAATATATTTCCCGTACTAATTCGGATCTAATAAATTATCAGTCAATGCACTTGTGTGCTTTCATTAACTGGCAAAGCTACTGTCCTGTGCCATCAATGCTGCCTGCATGGCTATGGTTGATGCTGGTTTCCCAATGAAGTGTCTGGTTTGTTCTGTGTCTTGTACTTTGAGTGAAAATGGAGACATCCAATTGGATCCTACTCTGGAACAAGAAAAGGTATATTGCTAAAAGGTGCCATTTACATCCAAATAAAAAGGGTGTCTCAAATTGAAATAAAGCAGCAGGGAGATTTCATAAAGTAGGCGGAGCGCTATTCAGTCAAGATGGTAGCAGCCTTGTGGGGAACAGTGTCGGAGTGGGTTACTCCCTCCTGCATAGAGTGCAAGGTGCAGGCCCTGAAAAATGTGTTGAAAATCTACATGTCTTGAGACCGTGCAGTCTGGTGCATTATTTTGTAGCACCCAGAAGTGATTTTCTTCCAAGTATCTGGCACAAATGCTTGAAGTACATGTAGCTGCCAACTTACATTGGGCATGCATGATATGTATTAAGACACTGAATGAGAAATTTTATACACTCAGAAATGATATTTCATGTACAATTCATTTATACACAGAAAGGGAAATTATAAAACTCTTTTTTCTTACAGTCAGCCTCAGCGGTGATGACCTTTGCTTTTGATAGTGTCAATAAAAATGTGATGACATCCTCCACAACAGGCAGTTTTACAGTACAAGAGGTAAAAATTCAAAAACTAGACATTCACTTAGACAGCTTATTCAAAACCTAGGAAAGTCATCCTTTTTTATTGTCTTTTGATTTTCCAAGTTGTTATTACAAAAAAGAATTATGCAAAACGAATGTCGGTTATCTTATGATATTAAATATTCAGTATAGTTATTATGTAACAATTTATTACACTAGCATATTAATAATTTTATTTATCAACTCAAGTGATCTTTTTCAGTATGAGAAGTGCTTAGAAGCATGTCGGAGTGCTGCTACCAAACTTTTTGACTTCTTCAGGCTGTCTGTCGAAAGAAAGCTTTCCAAGGTAGAACAACTTACATTGATGTCCTTTTCAGTCATATTTTCAGGAACAAGATGTTGTAGAGTTGTGCTCAAACTAATCTGTGTTTCATTAACAATAGCTGACTAGTCATGACACATAAAAAAATGTTTTTTGGCATGTTGTAACATACCGTCATCACATGCAACAAAGTTGTACTGTATACAAAAACTGAATTTGTCTGAATGATTCTTGGCCACATTCAATGAGACACTAATATATTGCATTTAATGTAATTATGATTTCTTTTTCTCTCAACAGGATGCAAAGTTCATGGACATAAACATTGCCTAATTTAAACATCATGGCATCAAGCAAGGTTTGCAGTTGACAAACTACACAGGACCAACTCATGTGTTACTTGAGCTGGGTATGGTATGCTGGTTAACTCTGTATTTTACAAATCACAGCTCACTGCTTTCTTGTGATTCAAGTGCTCAGTGATCATGTTAATCCAAAGGATTCGTATCTAAGGGCAAGAAGATTATGGCCAACTTCCACTAACAAGAAATGAACAATAACAAGTGATGGCCAATGATGTGGTTTGCTGTAAAGATCAGCGATGCCGTCCTTTTGAAACAATTCAGTGATATAGTAATAATATGGTTGGTAATTCAGACAAACAGGACAAAAAAATCAGGAATGTCTAAGTTCGCAACGCAAGTTTTTCATTACATCGGGACATTCAGCTTTCAACTCATGATCAGGATACCACGTGTTACCATTCATGCCGGTGATGGACTGCTTGGAGCAGTCATTTGACTTCTCCTTAAAGGGAAGAGCTGGTTTTGTAGCTACCTTGTGATGGTGGTAAAGTGCAATCTGTACTGATGACCTGTCATACATTGGAGCAGGAGAAGGGGGCTGGAAGGCCCAGTGATGAAATTTGTGAGGAGAGGGGTTGGAGAGAGAGAGAGAAAGGGCTGAAGGGAAGGGAGAGTAGAAAAACTGGGAAGTTTCGGGCTGTGGAAAATAATACAAATATACAATTGGCTAAATTTAGTCTGAAAGCAAATATTGAGAAGTGATCTCTGTGTGTATTGCAAAACAAAGTAAGAAAGAGCTACTTTTATTAGTACATAATAAAAATGAAAAAGAAAATGTATATTTGATAGTTTTTGAGAGATTTCAATGGCAGTGTATTTCTAACAAGGGAATTAGCGTCAGACAAAGAGGTCATACAAACCATTGACCTGGACTTGAGGAGTCGGCATTGTAAGGCATATCACATTGCGGTTGACTTGCTAGGGAATCACACATTTAATCTTTCTTGAGCAAACAAGTCGTTCTTTATTTATTTTTATAAGTAAAAATGCACTGAAACTTGCTGAAGCTTCTCATTGCTATTTATTTTATTAACAATGGTTCAGGAACAGTATATAAATATTTTGTTAACATTCCAGTGACTTGCTCTTATTAACTGTTAATTTTATTAGCAATTTCATTTAGCTGACTTTATGTACACAGCAGGTTTTACAGCAATAAATATGCATCTTTACCATTTTGTTCTAACATGTTTAGCTAAAAATAGGATTAGTATACTCTCAATAAAATCCTGCTCTCACCAAATCGCCCTGCATAGCAGTGGTTCAGGTATTTAATATATTAACATATCATATGTGTATAAATACTGTGGACATATACTGTTATTATTTTATATTTAGCAATTACTGTCGATATCCAAAATAATATAGTTTACCAGCAGCTCATCAGTCTACGAGCTGCCCACATTAACATGTATTGTTAAACAAAAGATGTGTGTTTAAGAAGTCTCTCACACGTTGCGACATCTATGGTTACCTTCAACTTTTGTTTGATAGTAGATATTGGGCAAATGAAACACTTAATGATGGTCCCCTAGACTTTTAAGCAAATCTGGAGTCACCTGAGGTTAACAAAATCATTTGATTCAAGCCAGATTGTTGTAAATCTTTATACCTTACAATGAGATGTTTAAAACACCTGCAGCAATAATTAAATATATCACCAGGCCTTGTAAATTATCAGTACCGGTACAAGGCTACACCGTGTAAATATTCTTGGCCAGCAACCTTGTCCTGAATCCCCTGTATATCTCTCACTCCTCTGTTATGCACTTGAAGCTTTGCTGTCGTCAACTGGAGGTAATGGAGCTTTGTCAAGATGGCTTTTCTTGCCCAGCAAGATTTGAATGAGCTTCATTGTATTCTTGGCCGTTCTTGTTACTTCTTCCTCAGTTCCTATTGCAGGATTGAACTCGACCATGTCAACAGCAGAGAGGCACCCTGAAGGGAACACATCAGATTACAAATCACTCTGCATTTTTGATGACTCTGTAAAATTATGTCGAAACAGTGAGACCACATTAAGCCCCCTTCTCCTAATTCATGTACAAAGTCTTTTGGTTTGTCACACTGACATTGTGTCTGTTGTGGCAGCATTTACACTAAACAGTGATATGAAATACAGTTGAACCTCCACTAATGGCCACCCTGAGGGGGAGGGGGTGCTTCCAGAAAAGTTGGGTGGGGGTGTGCGGCCCACTTCCCAAAACCCTTACCCTATTTATGACCAAAATCTGTGTTTCTTTGCTACCCTATTTATGACCTGTCCAAAAATTTGATAGCCTATTTACAACCGTCGCGGCTGACACAGTTGCCCCAAACATAAGTTATGAAGGGCTTTTGTTGCTGGTTATCAATAAAGATGAAAATGTAGCTTCTAAGAAACATACCCAATTCAAGACTAGAGTGCTAAAACCATACCCTATTTGTAACCAAAATGGCCAAAATCAATACCCTATTTATGACCAAAATGGCTGAAAAACCCTACCCTTTGGGGCTGCACATACCTATTTAGCCCATATAAGGGAGTACCCCCAGCTGGCCATCCCTCTTCAAAGGCCACCTCTCTACAATGACCACTTGTGGTCCTGGCAGAGAGTCCATACCATTCACTCTTATGTTAACCTCTCTACAATGGCCATGTGTTCATACCAGCAATGGCCATCAAAGTGCATCCCAAATGACCCAAATTATCTCTCCATAATGGCCAGTTAATCAGCGACTGACAAACGGTGTATACAAAACCCCATTTTATATTGTAAAAGGTCACAAAACTTGATCTGTACCGTGCGTCTAGTCACTGTTTCTGTTTGGTTTCTGTTTTAGATATATTTTTATTATGTTAGATATTTCTTGCTACAAAAACGCAGTTTTTAAACATAGAAATGTTGTACCCACCCACCGAAAAAAGCAGGTTATATGACACCCCTAATATACCTCCCCATAATGGCCATCTCTTGACAACAGCCACTTTCCTCTGTTCCCAAGGTGGCCATTGTGCAGAGGTTTGATTGTATTTACTTAAAGATATTAAGGTACACAAATCCTCTTGTAGCTAAACAAAAAAAGTATCCATGACTTGCCCATGGAAAGTCATTGCAAATTCCTGGGGTAGGGAGTTGAGGATTCAAGAACTTAGCTGGAATTTCCTGAGGGGTTGGGTAGGGGGGAGATCCAACCGGAAAACCCTTCCTGTTGGTTGGGCTACTTAACCTAAAGCAACTTAAGCTAAATCAACTGAAAATGTTCAACTTCTCAAAGGAAAAGCCACGTGATGCAAAACATAGTAAATTCAAACACACAGTCACCTGTTTGAGCTACTATCTGAGCAATGTAAATCCCTTCATCCAGTGTGAGCCCTCCTCGCACTGAAACAGAAATACATAATTGTCATAACAATTTTATTTATGCTTTCAAGGCATTCTTGTTTTGATTTACTCCTCATCATTCAAATACTAACAGGGCATTCCGTTATTTTCAATTAAAGTGTTTATTTACCGGCAAAAAGGTTTAGTTATTCTTCAGGTTGAAAATAGATTGATTAATGGCCAATTTACTCATTCAAATGAATAGGGTTCAGGAATTGGGGGTAATGGAAAACCATCAATTTTATTTTCTGAACATATAAACAGGAATATCGTCAAGAAGTCTAAGCCTGACTCTTTCCAAGGAGAGCTGAATGAGACAAAATTGAAAGTCCCACCTGGGGTTCCAGTGCTTGGAGTCTCTTTTGGATCCAGTGAATCAATATCATAACTGACATGAATTGGACGATCACCACTGGCAAAGCAAGAACAACAAGAGAGAAACAATGTAAGAAATGAATAAGTTGTGAATGATTGGATAAAAACTGAGAATGATCATTTAGTTACAGTTTTGCACAACATCCTCTTTAAAGTAGTCTGTCAGAAATTGTCTCATATTGATTTCCATCTCATGCCAGCAGCTCGAGTACAGATTCTTTTTGTCAAATACCGGTATGAGTCGATGAAGTTTCAAAATTTCAGTGCAAACATGAACTGAAAGAGACTTGCGGCCAGCTGCTCAAGCAGCACTGTGCTGTATCTGGTGGTGTGGTGCAATTCCAATCATTTTGGAAACTTGATTAATTTGGCTCAAAATTTGGTAAATCACATGAAAAGGTCAGGGATGTTCGTTGTCTTGCTTAGCAGTGCAAATGATGGAATTCTGGTCTCACTTAGGGTGTCCATGATGAAATGCCACTATTTTTGGCTGTCAAAGTATCCTTTAGGGTGCAGTTGAAGAAAAAATAATTAGCAGAAACACTCTTATTTCCATTTTTAGGCTTGATTTCTGTGCAACTTACTTGGGGTTAATTTTTTCAAGAGCCTTCTCGATAATTTCTCCAATTCCATCTTTGTCAATGTCATCAATGGTGTATGAGGCAATTCCTAGCTGTTCACATATCTCCCTAAAATTGAGTAATAATAAACATTCAAGTATATTTTATCATGCAAGGTAGCTGTAGCTTGCAGTACACAAAACCTTGTCATTTCAAGTTACAATGATTATAATTATGCCATGCATGTTCATAGGGTACAAACATGATCACCTTTCTTGTGGCTCCACATCTCTTAGTCCAATATAAGCTATATCTTTAGGAGACAAACTACAAACAAACAAACAGAAAAAAAACTGTCAGTTCTTGGCTAAAAATGCCAATCACCTGAGGTAGAAGAATTATTTCATTAAGCACATCCTGACAACAGTAGCTTAAAAATATTTTAATATCTAAGTAGTTATTTTACCTCTTAACACTGCAATCCAAGTCTTGACTGATTTAATTACACCATACAACCTTTTTGCTTGTGATGAGCTTACAACAAATATCTAGCTTAAACTCCAAAGCTGCATTAGAACCTAGCCACACTCCTGAGTTTGGATGTTGAGATGGCTACAATTTGAGTTAATGACAATTAATTGTTTAGTGTGAATCCAGTCTAGCCAAAGAACTTGCAGAAATGATGATGATGAATATGAGTAAGAGGGTAAGGACGAAGAGAAGGACAAGACTGAGGATGATCATGAGGCTGACAATGAGGAGAAGGATGAGGTTGAGGATATGGAGATGGATGAAGAGGGTGAGGATGAGGCTGAGGATGAGGCTGAGGCTGAGGATGATGATGGGGTTGAGGATGAAGATGAAGATGAGGGGGACAAGGATGAGGATGAGCGTGAGGATGCAGAGAAAGATGAGGAGAAGGAGGAGGCTGAGGATGAGGATGATGATGGTGCTAAGGAAGAGGCAAATGAACAAAGAACAAGGGACAAGAATGAATCTAAGATGAGGTGAGGATGATGATGGGGCTGATAGGAATGAGTCTGAGGGTGACAATGACGATAAGGAAAGGGATGAAGATGAGACAGGTCGAGCATAAGGCTGAGTCTGACAATGAGGGGATGGATGAGGCTGAGGCTGAAGATGTGGGGAAGGGTGAGGCTGAGGATGAGGCTAAGGATGAGGGCAAGGATGAGGGCGAGGATGAGACTGAGGATGATGATGGGGCTGAGGATAAGAATGAGTCTGAGGGTAAGGATGAAGATAAGGAGACGGATAAGGATGGGGCTGAGGGTGAGCATGATGCTGAGTCTGAGGATAATGAGAAGGCTGAGGCTGAAGATGTGTGGAAGGGTGAAGGTGAGCATGAGGAAAGAGATGAGGATGAGGCAAGGGATGAGGGTGAGGACGAGGAGAAGGATGAGGCTGAGGCTGAAGATGATGATGATGATGACGATAGGAATGACAATGATCAAGATAGTGAAGGTGGGATGATAATTTGTCCATATCCAAAGCATTCAAATAATTTCTTTTTTCCTCAGTTGTCAAGCTGATATTAGCAAAAACGGGGTGACGGACAATTTGTTTTATTAATAAGCTACATACTGTATATATTTGTCAGAATCAGTCTTTCTTAAAACGTACCATGGTGAACACCATTCATATCCAGGAATGGCTTGAAACTGCAAAATTAAGATTGAGTTCAACCACATGTGTTAATTTATCTGCAACAGTAGACATAAACAATTTTCTGCAGCCACACTGGCTGAATGAGAAAAAAAGTCAAGAAATGAGCCAAACCTCTGGTATGCCTTTGATTAACATTGAGAGAGGCATTCCATGCAGATTACCGCTTTTGGTTGTTGCTGAAGTATTAATATCCATATGAGCATCAACCTAATAAAGAGGACAGTAAAACCTGTACATTTACAAATTACCTAATCCTGAAGACTGAATTTATGACCAACATTCTGTGATCCAACATGATCTTATGAAAGGTACAGTTTATATGTTGTTTGTTTACAAAAACGTAAAGCACCTTCAGAATAATTTATTTACATTTTTTCATCATCAAGATCGTCTTGTTAAAGCTGTCCAACAACATCAACAAGAATGCGATAAATTGTGCCAACTTGTAACGGTGAGTGGTTTTCAGGTTAGTTAATGTCATTTTCATTTGTGGACAAGTTTGAAATATAGCCATTTTATTTCCACAAATCTAAATCTTTTTTCTTTAATTTACTGCACATGAAAACTCTGGAAAGTTCTCTATTCACTGTCAGTCTTTATTGCTCTGTCTAAAACTCAAACTGTACCCCTTCTGGGTTATATACTTACCCACAATAGACCCAGGTCTTTTGTAACAGATGCATGGCCATATACTGAGCCAACTGCAATGCTACAGAGAAATAAAAACAAATCAATCGGTATCTTATTGGTTTCAGGTTAACCCACTCAGGCTGACGGTATTACATTATTGCAAACTAAAAATCACGAAACAGGAAGACAAGAGTTACAACAAGGGACATAAATTATGAGAGTTAAAACTTTCTGGTTAAGATAGAGATTTCCAGCTGTGTTGAATTGGTTTTAATTACCATTCCTTAATGGACCCTCGTCTAGGTATTTTCAAACCCTTCACTTGGAACAATTAGTCAGGAAATACACATAACAGACACTCTGATCACACAGCGTATCATAAGGAGCTTGGCCACAGACATTTCAAGAGTCAACATGCCTTTGGATACACCTTCAGACTGGGTGCTCCTGTGGTTGCAACTCTTGGCCTTAGATGTTTTAATGTGCAATCTTGCAATCAAAAGTGTACTCCATACCCCTGAACACTCATTTCTCAGATGCTCAAATGTCGCTGGTGCATTTAAAGGGCCAAACGGCATCACTCTGTCCCTCTTTCTGCAATCAAGGCTGTCATTCTTTATACCCTGACTTCTCAGTGCCTAACTGATCTAGCTATAGTGTTGGTAAGAACCAAGTTCAGCTATCAAGTGTGGGTAAGATATGGGAAAAAATCATCAAGGATAATCACATTGTTCCATTTCTAGTAATCAATGCAAAGCCTGCAGAAGTTACATGCCTTGCAAACCAGATTACTGTTGAGACCTACAGTAAACCAGCCAAAGGTTAAACCCTCTTCAGACCATTTACTTTTATTTTCTGAACTGGGAAGGTGCGATTCTGCCCTCTGTAACTATATCCACAACTACTTGGCCTACGATTTCCCACTTAATTCCATCCCATCCCAACTAGACTTGACACATTTTTCCTCATGGAAGCTTAAATGGAAGCTTAAATGTGGCAGTGAGTGTAAGGTATCACTTTTGTTTCCAACTCTGCAGTAAAGGCCATGGCCATGGTCTCATATACATTCCCTACTCCTTATAGCTAGTCTGCCTCAGAGGTGAGTCCTATTTCTACACCTGACAAGGACAATTTTTTCTTACTCCACAGGGTATTATTCTTTTACAATATGTCAGGCACTTGTGTTCCAAGTTTTCCTCTTGTCCTATTATCTTGGCCAGAAGCATATCACCTCGAATGAGGTGATATGCTTCTCCACAGGGTATTATTCTTTTACAATATGTCAGGCACTTGTGTTCCAAGTTTTCCTCTTGTCCTATTATCTTGGCCAGAAGCATATCACCTCGAATGAGGTGATATGCTTCTGTCTTGGCTTGATTTGATTACAGTTCCTTTATACTGATTCAATCTAGCATTGACAAACTGAGTGTGTAAAGACTCTCATCTCTGAAATTTACAGACAAATTATGGATTTAAGCACTAACAAAACCTAAGAAGGCTTTAAACTTCACATTTGGAGAAATTAACCCTGGCCAAGGATGTTAAATTACGTGAATCAAGCAACATCAAATAATGAAGGCAAGGTGCAACAGAGTGATGCCAACTAATTCTAGACTCAGGGTCTGCTCAGTTGGTCTGAAGAGGAGAGGTGGAAGAGTTTCTTTAGTTACCTGTGATCTCCTCCTATTGTAAGAGAAAGCTTCCCTTCCAGACTAGCTTTTGCTATTTCTTGGGAAAGCTGTCAGATGAAGATATGAGTAACAATAATGAGTGATGGATGTTCCCAGACAGTTCACAATATAAAATAATCAACTAGCCATAGAGACCAATAATTGTAATTAAACATTTGTGATTGGTGGTAGATCAAAGCAAATTATTTACTTTGATGTACCACCAATCACGAATGTTTTCACTCTTACTGTCACACCAGTGGACCATTTCTCAAAGGTCCCAAAAAGTTTTCACACCTTGAAATCTCAAAATATCTTTAATATGCAGGCACAGATCTAAAATATATGGTGAATGATTTCTGAAACGATGAGTGCCTTCTACAGGGGTCCCAAGGGCCATGCTCCCTTAGGAAATGTTCTGGATTTTTTTATCCCTGAAGTCTGGTCCCCTTTTAGGGGGTTTCTGAGTAATTCTGAAAAATCTGACCAGTTTCCGTGATGTACACCCGATATGAACAGAGGTTCCCCATGAGTTCATACAAGAAGTTTCAGGTGTATACAGACCCCCTCTATACACCTCTGGTTTTAGATACAGATTATCCAGAAATGGCTTTGTAGGTCTGAAAAGGTCCTGGGGCTTTGGAGAAATGGGCCCCAGGACTTGTTTTGAAACATAGGAAGAACAGGACTTGGAAAAAGCCTAATTTAAGCTTTCACCTGCCACATGTTTTGTCTATACTGCATCCAGCCATGTTAGCCTACCTTCTCTGACACAGCGCCACATTCCAATGGATTTTTCACCAAGGTGTTGCTTAAACTATAATATTGATTTTTGATGTCAGGTACTTGTAATTCTCCATAATCTGATATTCTGTACCCTGTTCAAGCAAAAGGGGAAATAACCCAGTCTGGTTTAGTTCTGTCTCAACAGATGAAATAAAAATATACAGACATCCTCTACTTTTCCTCTACTTTTCTTGTTTTTGTAAAACAAGAAGTATGATTAAGTTTATAAAAATGAAGACCAAACAATCTTATGGTTTTAGCACAATTCTTACTAATAAAATTTCTTTCGAATTAGTAATTTCCAATAATATTATTTCTGCAATTTTACTTCATGCTGTAGCAGAATTGCATGTGGATTGAATTGTTGTTTAAGCTGTTTGTATGTGCTTGTCAGTTCATTTGAAAAATTTGGAGGTTTTAAAGTTGCAGTTAATTTTGACAGGCAATTGCTTTTCTTTAGTGTTCTCGTTAATCAAATTATCTTAATTAGTTATTAGTAATATTTCGAAATCTTCCTTAAAACAGTGGAGAAACAAGATAATATTGCTGTTATGGGCAACCTTCCGTCAATCAGCACTCTAATAGCTGATAGTATACAAGAAGCTGAGCCAATCAGACTGCAGCATTTGCATACTTAGAATTCTACTTGCACACAAATGCAGATGCTGCAATCTGATTGGCTAAGCCATTTAACACTGTTGGCCATTATTGTGAATGGACCTGAAATCACCTACAAAATGGCGATATTTTCTTCTTTCTCTGAAGTTTTGGGCATTAATGGGTCATAATTGAATTCCTATGCAAACTAAAAGAAGGGCGTGGAGCATTATGACATAAAAAGCTCTAAATTTATACGAATTTGATCAGTCTGCTCAATTTTGCTAAACATGAAGTCTAAAACTCCTACACTATTACATGGTATTATTACTACTAACTTCTACTACAATATTTGATTGTGACTTCTAGGATAGTAGTAATAACACCATGTAATAGTGTAGTAGTTTTAGACTTCATGTTTATAAGCAAAATTGAGCAGACTGATAAAATTCTTATAAATTTGAAACTTGCTGCTATCGATGTGGACTTCTAAGAGGAGGTGAATAAGTTGATTCTGCCTATGCCCTGTTATCAACTATGGGCATGGATACTTTCTGTAACCACACAGTGGTTACTTGTTCCCGGCAGGAGGGAACTCCCATATGAAAAAGACAGGGGTGCTTGTCGGAAATTTTGAAAAGAATGCCTGAGGGGTTTTGTGGGCATCGCTGGAAATGTTTTCACCCCTAAGAGGCACCAATTCTAAAACAACACATTAACTTTTATAATTTGTAATAGCGTTAAAGATGATCAATTGCTTCATTAATACCTTCTACTTGTTAAGTCATTGTCAAATATCTCCTGTCATATTTTTTTTCTGCTCAAATGCTCTTAAAGCTCCCGCTGTGGACCTCATGAGACTGAACAGCCTAAGAGGTACCAAAATCACTTTTTAACCCCTAAAAGGTATGACCAGCACCCCCGTCCTATTTATGTGGGAGTTCCCCTGGGGCACTTGTCATACTCAGATTTCAGAATAAACTGAAGTTATCAGCTATCACTAGGTCAGTGGGCAAAGAAATAGCATATTATAGCTATGATAGCTTGATCCTGATTGGGGAAAATTAACCACTGTAGCAAGTTTGGGAAGGTGACATTCTTAACATAGCCCTTTAATTGCTGGCAAAGCAAAGTTCCAATTTGCTCCTGTCAAATGAACAGCTACATAGTTTATGCTTCACGTCAGCTTCACAAACTTGCTACAGCAGTTTCCCTAATTGATATCAAGTAGATAAATACTGTTAGCTAGAGATTTCAGAATGCCTGTACTGCTGAAGAATAATAGTCTAGCACGAGCAAAGATCTTTATGTGGAAATGTCTGCCAGTTTTGGATATTAATTTGAGAAGAAATAAGAAAAGAGTGTGGCATTACCTAATTTCTCAATTTTACTGACTAAGCCTTGCTTCCTTAAACGTGCTGGTCCTTCCTCGACACCTTTTCTTGGCTACAAGAAAAAACAAACAAAAAAGTTATTTAAATTATAATGTTTAAATTAACATTGGAAAAATGTGTGCCATGAAAATTACAGAATGCTGACATGTATGTTAAACATAACACATTCCAAATGGCACACCTTAGCCAGCTATGAGTAAGCTTCCTGCAGTCTGAGAGTAAGATGTGCATGTACAAGACCCAGGGGGTATTTATACATGGGGGCATGGGGGGCGATCCGACAGAGCTTCATATTGTGAACTCAGAAAAATGCAGAAGTCTGAAATTTTACACCCAAAACACACACCTGGCATCAAAAGATGTGTAAACCCAAAAATATACACATATCTTTTCAAGATTTAAATAACTGTCCCCGCCGGGGTACAACACTGTCAAGATTTTCCTGTGCTCGGTTCCTTTGTCTTTCCTATTGTTTTGATGCAAGACATAATTTCAGGAGATCTTTCAGGTAGGTGGTAACAAATCCTAAGCATGCACTCCGATCTGCTGATCACGAGGATAGAGTTCAACCTGCATGGGCATGTTGTACACTTTTTTTGACGAGGAAACCCAAACAAGACATTGACCATAGCACTCACGGCTACTGGAAATGAGGCTATAATTTAAAAAAAGGATCTGGCTGTTACTGCTCTCATTATGGTGTGTTTTTTTTAAGCGAATTTTTTTTTTGACTATAATTTTATCCGAGAAAGATCGATTGGGTTACTGGCAAAAAATTGAAAAGGCTTTCACAAGCACCGCCCTGGTTGCCATATTATCGAGTTCCCCGGTAGCCGGAGCGAGCTTAGATGTTCTGAGACTGATTAAACCACCGGTTTATAACTTAAGTATCAAATGAAAAGCATAAGCTTGTATAAGTGTTCTTGATAAGCTTTCTTGTCAACGACTAAAGGCGATCTATTTCGTGGACATAGCATTTCAGGGCCTGAACGGCGTCGCTTAATTCCCATAGGGAATCGAAAACTTCAAGTTTTTGTTTTCAGTTTCTAGAAGTCTCAAAAATATTTACGTCGCATCAAACTGTGATTCTAACCACGTCTTTTCGCTTCTGGAAGACAAAAGTCTTACACCAAAACAAACAAGAGTCACTGGCGTGACATCTTCCACGTGTATGGAAGGAAACGTAAATATTTTCAATATTTCGTCATTCCTTACGGAGGAAAGCAAGCGTTACTAAAATTTAGAAATTTGAGCTTACTTCAAAATAAACACTAAAAGCTACTAAAGTGACTGAAGGATTTATGCGACAAATGTAAACACTACACTATCGGACTTGTTTACGGCAGTGGACGAGTAACACGGTTATATTGCTTTTTCCAGTTCATTACGCAAACACGATCGTGTATTTCACCCAGCGAAATTTTATGTTAAGTTGGTCTAGTACTTTACCTGCCCGCCGGAGAAAGGAACGCCGATCAAAAATAACTCTTTTTGCTTTGTTGAGTGGCATAGTCTGACAATTTTCTTCATTGTTGATCTTAAACCTAGCCTGCGTATCACAATTGGAACGGTCATGGTTATGGCGATAAATAATGGCGATTTGGTTCCTTTGTCTCCCCTCCCCCTTACACACCTTCCAGTGGACTCTTCTCATTCTTTCTCGTTCTTTACCACCTGATGGGGAGTGAGGCGAGTGAGTAGCCAGAAGGTCCATGAATTCATCTTCAAGAAAATCACTAATCATTACCTACTACAATCACGACATGATGCATCTTCTTTCTATTTGTCTAAATCATGTTTTTTTTTTTCACTAATCCATAGGCTCTGCTCCTGGAGAGGTAACATCCCTTCCCCTCTCTCCAGAAAACTGTCAATTATTATCATCAGCTTAGTAACCATGCAAGAAACTAGGAAGGGTTACAAAGCATTATTTTCGCAGCGGGAGTCGATGTTTGTCGCTGGAAATATGGCTTCTAATTAGCTTGTGAAATCTTGCCTTCAACGAACTCAGGTTAACGATGGGGTTGAAGTCCTCGACTCTTTTACAAGAAGAAGATATAGAAGAACTGCAAAACGAGACTGGTTGTAAGTTGAAGACATTTTGCGAGAATCTCACACTAAGTTACCGGCTCAATCTCACTAATGTATGACTCAACTGTGAACTTTGTGCTTGATTTTTCACAGTTTCGCCAGATCAAATCAAAAGGCTTTATAGCAGATTTACAAGTCTTGATAAATCAACCAAAGGAACACTGANGACATCAGAAGGAAAATGGAAAATATATGACAAAGAATCTAACATTTATTTCAACCGATGGAACATTTCTGTTGGCTTGGTTACCTGAATCAATTGGGAAAGTACAGTAGTGTTCATTCAACCACATTTCACACCCACTGGAAAGAAAACTCTTTGAGTAGCCCCCCTCCCCTTCGGAAATTTACCTCTTTCAGACCCCGCTACCCCTCGGAATTTCCGTGACCCTCCGTTGGGGGGGTCGAGGGGTATAGATATTTTCTGCAACCACACATTAAGGAGAACTGATAGTTTGGTCTTGGTGCTTGAAGGCCTGTTCATATTACAAGAGGGACACTGGAAACACAAACATTTGACATTTTGTTGTGTATTTCTTCTTCATACAAACATAAAGGGACAGCACTTTTATAGTGTAAACATTCTTATCCTTTTGTTGTTATAAACAGCACTTACTAGAGAAATTTATCATAAAAACGTCTACCAAAAAAATTGTCAAGTGTTCCTGGTTCAAGTCTCTGCACAGTTATTACACATGGTTGCATGTTATCTGATTGCAAGTGTGTGTTTTTTTTCTCTCAACCAGCCGTGACGATTTTATCCGTATACCAGAATTGGCTATCAATCCAATTGGTGAAAGAATCATAGATGCCTTCTTCATGAATGAAGACAGTCAGTAAGTGATATCATCTTATTGTCACAAACTAGCCTTTTAAT